CTAACCCAACAATTACCTGCTGTACTTACTTGTCATGGAGCATGCTCTCCAAGCAACTATAACCATAACAGAGTTCTAAAACATAAGAACTTCCCTTGCTTGACTCAAGAGTGTAAGAAAACATACACAACATGAAAGTGAAAAGCAACAAACTCTAGTTAGTGTTGAAAAAAGATTCTTACTAAAAACCAGTAAGCTCAAACTAACTTTCTAAAAACATTTTTAGGACAGGCTAGCTGACAGTCAAAAATTGTGGTTCTTAGTTTACATTTTAACATTTTTAGACCAAGTGTTGACTCTAATAGACAAAACAAAACAGACAATCTATCTGGACTTAAATCTAAACGTGAAAATGGACCCACAGGCACACTCTTCACCAATTTTCCACAGAAATATGTTGAAAGGGCTTGCCCATGTTGAGCTCTGGCCTCCAGGAAGGGTGGCAAATCAGTCTCTCCAGATGAGCTAGTTTCTTTTGAAGTAACTCGGTTTGGGGACACTCCAGTCAGTCTTGGGGGAGCTCTAGAATTTAGTGTTGGGGGTAACTTTCCACCCAGGAAGCTGATGAAATCTGGTTCTTCTGCGTTTTTGATCCCAAGCCAGCGCACCCTCATTGCCTCGCTGATAGCAATCTGAACTCCAAAATCAAAACTTCGCTGATGGGTCTCCACGCTTTTTTGGTAGAGGTTGGTGTCGGCGGCAGTTGCGTTTTGAAAGGGAGCACAGAGAAAGTGCTGGCTGCTGACACACGGGGTCTTTGTAGAGCTGGGCCACTGCGGTGGCTGGGTCTTGGAAGAGGTGCCACAGCTGGTGCAGCTTGTGCTCGGGCTTCGCGGCGGCCGCCGCCTCTTGCAGCTCAGGGGACAGCTGCTGGTCCTAATCTGCCTGGGCCTGGCACTGCCGCTCCCACTTGGGGAGCCAACGCTCGGCCCGTGCTCCTGGATCTCCTCCTCGCCCTCCTCCTTCCACTCCTCCATCCTCCGTGGCTTCCCTCATTCTCGCCGCTGCCGTGACCTCCCCGCGGGAGCCTCTTCAAGGGCGGCCAGGTGGCTGAGCCCCGCAGCCTTTGGCGCCTCCTTGAGGCGGCGCAAGCTTCCTGCCCCGGGACGGTCGGCGACCCAGCCCCGCGGCCCCGCCCAATCCGGAAGAGGCCCACCCCCGGGCATCCGGGCCCTGGGGCATCTTGGCCCCCGGGGGCGTTTAGGCTGTTGCTGTGCCTGGAGCACATGCCTACTGGTCCCCTGTCGCCAGCCTTCGCGTCGCGGCCTCCCTAAAGCCACCGCTGCTGCCCACCGAGCCCTCCACCTAAATCGGACTATTTATGAGGCTTTAATGAGGAGACATTGGTACATTGAAGACAAAAAAGAAAACAACACACAGTCACACAGTAACTGCTGGGGTTTTTGTTGTTGTTGTTTGTTTTGGATGGAAGGCTGGTGTGGGTGCAGGTGACAGGGGCCTCAGGAGACGTTAATGAATTGTTGGCATGACATCAGGGGCAGGTTGCTCTCTCTACCAGCTTTCAGAACCATTATTAGCAGAGGTATTGGAGTCTTTTAGAGTTTTCCAGGGAACCAGAACCAGTAGGGGATGTGTGTATGAGGAAAGAGAGGGACAGATTAGGAGGAATTGGCTCATGCAGTTAGGAAAGCCGACAGATCCCAATTTTTACAGCGTGAGTCATCGACCTGGAGATCCAGCAGAGCCAATTGGGTGGCTGTAGTCTGAGTTCAAAGGACAGAGAACCAGAAGAGGCAATTCTATAGTGGATCCTGGAGCTGCAAGCTCAAAACCTAATAAGAGCCCATGTTTTAGGCCAAGTTCCAAGGCTGACAAAAGTGGATAGGTTGAAGGCCATCAGGCAGAAGGAATTCTCTCTTATTCAGCCTTGTTATTCCATTCTGGCCTTCAACAGATTGGACAAGGCCCACTCACATTAGGGAAGGAAATCTCTATGGATTCAAATGCTGTCATCATCCCCAAACACATTCAGACACGGTCGGAACAGTATTGGATCCAATATTTGGGCACTATGAGGTCCATTCAAATGGACACAAAGTTAACCATCACACAGGGAAGGGCTGATGGGGGCATGCTCCTTTCCACAGGGGACTGGGACTTTGGTGGGTTTACTGGAGGATGTGTTGCCAGACTGGCAATGAGGGGTGTTACTGGACTAGACCTTGTCCATTTTCTGGGTTTCAGAAGGGTGGTAATGGCCTCTCCTGCAGCTTCTTTGGCTCTTCAAGTCTGGCCACCAGTGCTAAGGTGGACCTTGCCTGTTAGGGCAGGCCAATGTGAGCTGTACACTAGTTGGAGTGACATGAATGGACCTAGGAAAAGAAACCTTGACCTTTCTGACCTATGTGAAGAATAGAAAAGCCAGGTTACTTGGAGGTAGACATTGAGGGAAGGATGACTCTTGGAGCTTCCACTTCTAGTCCTCTTCCTGCCTGAGGGGCAGTGAGTTTGCCCTGCCCATTCCTAATGCCCTGGTGACTTTTCCCTCTGCTGGCTATCCTACTGTTCCAAAGAGCTGCTTTAATTGCATTCTCTGAAAAGAAAGCAGTCAGCATAAGACTTTGCTCAGGATGAACTTCAAACAGAATTATGCAATGCTAACAAAGGCAAGTCTTTGGTAAAGACTCCTAAAGAGTGGAGTCTAACCCTTTCTAGGCAAATCTTATTCACATTTTGCAAACCTTTTCTTAGGGGAAAAATCTACCAATTGGAGGTTTTGTCTCAGTCAACAAGGGTAAATCAATTCTGCTCCCGAGTCAGAGCAGTTCTTCAGTATGCTGTAAGCAAGCAGAACCTTCATAAAGACTTTCATAAGTTAGAATATATAATCAAAGAGCTGATCATCATAAGGACTTTCCTAAGGTGCAATAGCAGAGGTGACACTCAAGTGCTATGTGCCTACAGATACACCATGCTGTGCACCTTCCATGCATCTTCTCATTTTGTCCCCGGAATAAAACCATGGGAAAGAAACTATGATTGCCCCCATTTTGCAGATGAAGGACAGTGGCTTAGGGAGACGATAGAACCTGCCAGGATAGATCATCCTGGTGAGACCAGCCATGTCCTGCTCCATAGAACACATACATTTAACCCATTGATGGCACTTCGGGTTTACTTGTAGCTGCTATGGAAAGAAAGCTTTGACTTCAGTCTGAAGGCTCCTCCAGCCAGAGTCCTAGGATTCCAGCGCATTGGAGAAGGCTTTGTCCTCCACACACCAGGTGAAAGCAACAATCCAGGGCACCCAGCAGAAGCAGTCCACTCAAGCTGCCTTACCTTTATTTCTAATGCTTTAGCCATGACCGCATTTGAGAAAAGGAACTTCTCCTTGAGATGTCCGCCCCCACCCCCAAATGCCTGGTTGCGTAAAGCTTGGGCATGTCCTCTGCCAGCTTTAGCAGCTGGAAGGAGCTTGTAGCTCACCCCTCACCACCTTTTAAAGTTTTCCAAAATGCGACTGATAATAAAACAGGTTTTATCCCCCGATTGAAATGCAAGTGTTGTGAGTCAGCAATTTTGCATGTTCTTAGAAGGCAAAACTGACAGTTACAAGGCCTCCCTGTTGGCAAGTGCTACACAAGTGCTCCTCCTATGTTCCCAACCTAGCTGGCTTTTTTTCTTTTACTTTCTTTGAAGTATCCACCAAATCACCTCTCCTGCCCAGTTTTCCAAATTGTTCCGTGATGTAGTTCCAAATACAATGTGTGTCACTGTTAAGTGATCACTCTACTGTCAACCTATGACAGAACCTCCAGAGGCTTCACGCCTCATGTAAGGTAGTAGTAAAAACTTTCCATGAATATAAACATATCTCCTTAGTAGCAGTTGTGGGGAAAATGTGGCAGTTTTCACTTTAGATTTTTATGAAATGTTGGGGAAGGGAAGGGGTTTTCTAAAGATGTGTCATAAATTAATCTTTTTTTCTTTAAATAATTAAAAATATTTTTCATTGTAGATGGACACAATAATTTTACTTTTTGTGGTGCTAAGAATCAAACCCAATGCCTCACACATGCTAGGCAAGTGTTGTACCACTTAGCCACAACCTCAGGCTCGAATGTATCTTTTATTTAAAAGGTTTCATCTGATGCCAGAAGGCAAACAACCCACACTTGCACTTTGCATTCAACAAGTTAGCAAAACACTTTCTACAATGAAGCTGCCCTAAGGATTTTCATATCTTAGTGGTTCCTTCGCACAGGGCTGATTGTATTGCTGCCTATTCCTACAATATCCTAGAGGCTTAGAAACTCCCTTCCTTACCGCATATCTCAGTTCACCTGCCTTCCCAGCTTTTTCCCCCCTCTCCAAAATGGGATCCTAATCCATCAAGAATGATCACATATTGAAAGCAGACTCAAGTTTTAATAGCTAGAAATATGTAATTTTTAAAAAATGCTAAACTGTTAGTTTCCATTCATTGTCTTAAATTTCTGCTGTGGTTTTCAAGTACATTTTAGGCGGAACTCTGTTGTGTTCCTGCCTACTCTTTTAGAACACCTCCAATTTGAGTATACTTTTTATCTGACAGGTAAAGCAGCACTTGATTTTCTTTGTATTCAACACACTGTTCAAAAGGAATCAGATAAAGAGAAGTCCTTACCTAAGGCCTTGATTCTACAGATTCACAAAGATTTTGGAACAGCATCATTCCCAGATTGCTTTTGAGAATCTTTATTTGAATCCTTTGGGAAAGGGAAGATTTAAAAAAAAAAAAAAAAAAAAGGAGTTTCATCTCTTTACTAAAGGAACAGGAATACTGCTCAAAAACATTGAAGCTGAAAAACTATCTTGATGAAAGAAAATCTTGAAACTTTGAGAACAGTGAGAAGAAAAATTGGGAGAGTATGGAGCCCTGGATTACGAGTACAGATATTATCAGTGCAGTGCACTTGGACAGACACACCTGAGCAGCTTAGTTGACAATCATAGAGGAGCTGGTGGACAACAAGTTGACCCAGGAGGTTGAGAAGTTCCTAAGCCTCCTCGTCCTCGTCGAACTCTTCGTGTTCCTCAGCAGTGGCATCCTGGTACTGCTGGTACTCGGCCACCAGGTCGTTCATGTTGCTCTCGGCCTCAGTGAACTCCATCTCGTCCATGCCCTCGCCTGTGTACCAGTGCAGGAAGGCCTTGCGCCGGAACATGGCAGTGAACTGCTCAGAGATGCGCTGGAAGAGCTCCTGGATGGCTGTGTTGTTGCCAATGAAGGTGGCTGACATCTTGAGGCCCCGCGGTGGGATGTCGCATACAGCCGTCTTCACGTTGTGGGGGATCCAGTCCACGAAGTAGCTGCTGTTCTTGTTCTGCATGTTGAGCATCTGCTCGTCCACCTCCCTCATGGACATGCGGCCTCGGAAGATGGCAGCCACTGCCAGGTAGCGGCCGTGGCGGGGGTCACACGCGGCCATCATGTTCTTGGCGTCGAACATCTGCTGGGTGAGCTCGGGCACCGTCAGGGCGCGGTACTGCATGCTGCCCCTGCTGGTCAGGGGCGCGAAGCCAGGCATGAAGAAGTGCAGGCGGGGGAAGGGCACCATGTTCACGGCCAGCTTGCGCAGGTCTGCGTTCAGCTGGCCCGGGAAGCGCAGGCACGTGGTGACCCCGCTCATGGTGGCTGATACCAGGTGGTTGAGGTCACCATACGTGGGGGTGGTCAGCTTTAGGGTGCGGAAACAGATGTCGTACAGGGCCTCGTTGTCGATGCAGAAGGTTTCATCCGTGTTTTCCAGCAGCTGGTGGACAGACAGGGTGGCATTATAGGGCTCCACCACCGTGTCTGACACCTTAGGTGAAGGCACCACGCTGAAGGTGTTCATGATGCGGTCTGGGTACTCCTCCCGGATCTTGCTGATGAGCAGGGCTTCCAACTGACCCACTCGCTGGGGGGCGGCACTGGCTCGGGCATGGGCACCCTGCTCATCAGCAAGATCCGGGAGGAGTACCCAGA